AGGTCATGATAAGAAAATCTTCAAAAAACGATGTCGTCTTGACGGCAGGAAGCATTTTTTCAGTCAGCGAGTAATTGACTTGTGGAATAGTTTACCACAAACTGTTGTTCGTGCGAAATCTGTAATTAAATTTGAAATTATGTTAGATGAACATTGAAAAAATAACATACAATCATTAACATGTTTGTAATTTGAAGCCGTTAAACAGGAAGTGAAATTTATTTTTATTATGCTTTTTAATGTACATGATATGGACATAGAGGCTGTGAAGCCTGCATCCATTATTTATGCTATTAAATGCTATTAAATAATTTGGGTGTCTCTCATCTCTCAGCCTTGTAGAATTACATAAGATGTAAATTCTTGCAAAAATTTGCAAGGGTCCTCAAATGCATACCGGTTAAAAGTTTGTACTTGCCTATGTTACGGCTGGATATTTTGACAAGATGTACGTGTGGGCTAACAGGTACAGTATCTACAAAACAAGGAGAGTCAGGTTTTACTTGACTGTCATTTTAATGCAGCAGAACATCATTTCATACTACAAAAGTACATTCTATAACACATCTTACAACATGACTTGATTCCATTCACCAAATAAACTTAATAAGCAACTGTGACTAAACTGTGACAAGACATGACAAAGTGTGACCAAGTGTGACAACAGGGCTCTCGATCTGCCAGATTTGGGGCCGAATTCCCAATACAAAATAGTATCTTTTTTTCCCAATTTAGACCTCAAGTTTTCCCAATTCTAAGGAAAACACAGCTATTTTTCCCAATTCTAAGGGCCCCAGTCCCAAAATGGGGTGTGAGAGCCCTGGACAATGTGACTATAAGTGACATTGTACCCTGTGACCTCATGTAACACTATCTCATGACTTGTCGCTCATTAATTAAACAGACAAATTATATGTGACTCAATCCACCTGTTATAATGAATGTCATAATGACCATAACTGTGTGACTGATTGTGACCAATCACCAACCTAGTAAATAAAGTGACAACTCATTCTCTTCTATATGTCGCTATTATCCATTTTGACAAGTCGAGTACCAACAATTAATACGCACTTCAATAGATTCTGACTTCAAATCAAATATGTGACTAAGTAAATTGATGACTAGAAAGTGACTAGAGCAATACATGACACTACACACCAGTTTCGACCGATACTGTCACAATAATAATTCATACTCCATAACATTACGATATTAACTCATCACTGATAATGATCCTACAAATTAGATCAGATAAAATGCCTCAACATCAATTTATAGCATGAACAGAAATATGAACTAGAATAACATCAATGTAATTACCTAGAAATGTGTTATTGGATTGAAGATAAATTGTATTCTCTGAGTGTTATTTCTTATCATACAAATCAATCTTACTCTGACAATCAATTCAATCAATCAATACACATCATTTCAATAAAAGTTCTAAAATGACCCATAACTTGGTATAGTAACAATATTCATATATATTGGCCTGATAATCTCCAACGGACATGTACCATCCATATAAAGGGGGATAACTCGAATAACAAAAGTTGAGGCTCCGTCAACATACAATACACCAATCTGTTAATCAAACTGCATCACAGTATAACTACTGTACAACCATGCAACACTATGTTAATATGTATCATTACAATGGAAATGGGGAATATACGAACATGCTACAATGGAATTCCAACAACTCCTGACAACTATCGTTAAGATTGACTAACCCCCGAACTCCTTTATGACAACTATAGAAACATCGGAGGTGGCGTGAGAGAAACACAGCCAGATCAAACAAATAAGGAGTCTGGTGTAGAGGACTAAAAATCCTGTACCAGAAATTATCGCTAAGTATCGCTAAGTAAGTATGTGATAAGGCTATCAAACACCTCGCTTCAATTATGCGTAAAATTACTCAAATGATAGATTTCCTGAACACTTACCCTTAGCAATTATGGTCCTGGTTACTTATCACGCTATTTAACCACATGCAATCACAATCAAACAACATCCTTCAGTACTTACCTACAAAACAAGGAGAGTCATGCTTTACTTGACTGTCATTTTAATGGCGCCGCAGCAGAACATCCGAGAATCTCATACCCAGGGACATGCGCAGTCGATTTAAAGCGAACACTGCACGTGAAACCCAAACAAATGAGAGTGTCTTCTAAAAAGTACGTGTATACACGTATTCTCATCAATATGCCCCAATCGATGTCGCTGGAACTTGTACAAAATACCAATATAGTTCGGAGTATTTTACTTTCATAAAATCAAAGAACTCATGAATCTGAGCATTTACTGATGAAAATTTATGTTTTCAAGACAGAAATTTCCAAAAAAAATGTTGGCAAATGTACTGAAACGTAACATTCGTTACTGTCGCCAGACTTTGTATCTATTTGAATTTGAACATAAGTTTCTTTTTAAGGCACATATCATCACATATTAACTTTTTTCAAAATTGAGACCTAAATTGATTACAAGAAGGTGTTTTGATTGAATTATTCATTTTATGTATGGATGATCAAGCGTCGCCAACTTTTGTGAAACCTACGTTACCCAGAACAAAACATAAGTATTGTCGTTTAAATTCTAATATGTGAGGCTCTACCTTCGGTCATAAATTCGGTAAACCAATGTTAATAATGTTGTTAAAGAGCTTTAAACAGAGACGATTCACAATCCTAGAACATGCATGCACTTTTGTTCGTGTATGAACGCGTATGGATAACAGTGAAACATACGTTGTTGCGTTTTCAATGATGACGGCGAAGACAAGATTCTTCAATTGTTTGAATTACGAAAATGAATGTTATATTTGTTTCCGTAGATATAGAGAAACATACGTTACCATGAACGTAGTATGGGCAGTTTGATAACATTTCATAGTTCTTTGGTGTTATTTGTTTGTTTTTTCGTGTTGATTATTAATCAGTTTATCTCACTGTCAACATACTATGCCCAGAAGACGGATATTAAGATGACGAAAGCACACACTGAAGAAATCCTAACAACGTTTTTTTAAGAACCAAGCAATTTTATTCAAAGTGTCCATTTCTCTCGAACATACGCATATTTTTGTGGTTCGTCGTTATCTATATGAATTACCAGAACCGCACGAGTGATGAAAACTTAAAATTAACTTTTTTTAAATTCTAAATTCTGTTATCTCGCTCATTCAAGCAGCACAAGGACAGGGCACACAATCTTAATGCCATTGTTTTTATTCTCTTTCATGTCATGCCTCGTTTTCTCGTTACTTACACAAACTTCGCTATGAATCGTCCTATATCGACATCAGTCAATTACGCTTCATTCCAACCATAACAGCATACTCTCCTTCGTAATGTTGATTCCCATGGTCTCCCTATAATTCTATCAAGTTATACACAAATTGCATGTATGTGGTTTAAACAAAAATGTTAGTTTGTTGGTGTTTACCCGTTAGACAATGTGTTTGGCCAATTTACGTATGGCTAATAGTGTACAGTGACGTCATATACATGGCATCATCATTCGCTGTACTGAAAATATATCCGCCCAGGCACGGAGTAAACAACACAGTGGAATATTTTGAATTTGGTTTGTAGAGTGAAAGGTCAGCTTGAACATTGATTAATAGGAATAGGAGGTGCGTTGTCAGAAATAGTCGTTTATCTGTTTGAAAAACTGAAAGGTGTGAGGGCATTTCTGTGAAAGCTCGTTAGTGGTTACCATTCTCTCCACTCTCTACAGGATGTAACTTCTACAACTCTTACCAGCCCATAAGTCTGTGTAGAGGACAGTGTAGCCAAATGTTTGGAACTCTTAAAATAAGACAAATCCAAAGAGACGAAAAATTATAAAACTCAAATTTGATTATCATTTTAACTTTTTAGAAGCAGGGACCTGCCTTTAGTGTAACCATCCTTCAGGTTTTCTTTAGAATGCTGTGTGCATGTCAAAGTTGTTGTAGCCACTGACAACTAGCTATCAACCACGTGGTTACCATGGTAACGCTCTTAGTTATGAACACTCCACACTGGGAGAGTATGCATGTGTTCCGTGTGTGTGGTTTTTGAGGAGGGGTTCGTAATTTGAGGGCCGTTTGGGGGTCGCTTGAAGACAAACATAAAGAGTAACTTATTGATGGACTTTGGGTTTATCGAGAAAATCTACTAATTTAGTGATGTTTCGGAGAGCTTTCGTGCTATCCGGGTACGAATGTTATGTATTGAAATATATATATATATACATCGATCTTTACCTATTTGTCACGAAGAAACATGTCATCTCATATCATTTGAAACCAGGAAGAAGGAATACCAGGGTATATTTCTGGAAACTATTTGAATAGCTCTGTTCACTAAATTGTTCTACGTGAGATCAGGTAAATTGCAAACGACACTAAATCACCACGATAAGCTTATCACCGCATTACTTAAATGGAAACGGTGTACAGAAATATGCATTAAAACATGTTACTCCACTTGGCTGGCACAAGACTTTTTACATAGAATTGTATTCTAGGACAAACAAAAACTTTAAATTTAAAAGGAATAAATTGGACAGTATAGGTCTATCATCGAGAACTGATCCATTCAAGTTTGATATCTATATAAATAAAAATGATTTTTGACAAAAGAAGAAAGACGTTACATTTTGCACTATATATATATATCTACCTCACCCCAATAAAATTTGCAGTTGAATGGTGTCCTACCCTGCAAAAACCACAAATATGTACAGTCTTCCTTTCGGAAGTGCTCTTTATGTCAGTAAATTTGAAAAGGTATGTGTATATATGAGTGCGAAAACCTTTAAACGACACACCTGGAGTTGTATGTGTCATGTTACTAAAAATAGACACGGGGAAATCCAAACCACAATCCGCTTCAGTTGATATTACAAACTGTATGTAGCCTACTTTCGGTATATGACGCTCGTTATGAATGGGTTTCCCCACCAATCATTCACGCGTCGGCCCAGACAGCTTATGAAATAGGTTTTCCCATTACTAAGATTTGTAAACAACGGACGGACTGTACAGAACCAACAGAAGCTAGATTTGATGAAGTTATGGCCGCCGGGGAATCGAGTTCAGATCGTATGGTGGACGAAGAACACCAAAACGTTCAAACAAAAACCCGTCTAGGGTGTGTGAAGCCACGAACACTTGGGCTGTTTTTCGTCGTTTCCATTTTGATCAATTTTTTGTTGGTGTCCATAATGTTGGGATTATTGCTTGCCGGAAAACTGGCACATGATACAGGAACGGATCATGAAAAAGGAGAGGATATGACAGCAGATAAGTCAGCTGTAAAGAGTGCAGCACTAGATATACCGGAACTAGACCAAGTGTGTTTACAGTGTGATCCCGGAGACGGCGTGAAGCTCGAACTAGTTACATTATACCCCATCAACAACGGTACAAAGCCGCTCTGTTGTAAAACGTATTCTCAGACCGAAAAGGATAGAAAACAGCAAATGGTAAGTAGGGGTCAGAATGGGGGTCAAACCCCGTAGTACTGGCAGGGGTCAAAACCCGTAGTACTGACAGGGGTCAAACCATATAGTACTGACAGGGGTCAAACCATGTAGTACTTACAGGGGTCAAACCATGTAGTACTGTCAGGGGTCGAATCATGTAGTACTGGCAGGGGTCAAACCAAGTAGTAATGACAGAGGGTCAAACCATGTAGCACGGACAGAGGGTCAAATCGAGTAGTACTGATAGGACTGGACAAGAGGGTCTGTATAGGGGTCAGATAAAGTAGTACTGACAGGACTTGACAGGAGGGTCTGTATAGGGGTCAGACAAAGTAACACTGACAGGACTTGACAGGAGGGTCTGTATAGGGGTCATGCAAAGTAATACTGACAGGACTTGACAGGAGGATCTGTATAGGGGTCAGATAAAGTAGTACTGACAGGACTTGACAGGAGGGTCTGTATAGGGGTCAGACAAAGTAATACTGACAGGACTTGACAGGAGGGTCTGTATAGGGGTCATACAAAGTAGTACTGACAGGACTTGACAGGAGGGTCTGTATACGGGTCAGACAAAGTAGTACTGACAGGACTGGACAGGAGGGTCTGTATAGGGGTCAGATAAAGTAGTACTGATAGGACTTGACAGGAGGGTCTGTATAGGGGTCCGATAAAGTAGTACTGACAGGACTTGACAGGAGGGTCTGTATAGGGGTCAGATAAAGTAGTACTGACAGGACTTGACAGGAGGGTCTGTATAGGGGTCAGACAAAGTAATACTGACAGGACTTGACAGGAGGGTCTGTATAGGGGTCAGACAAAGTAGTTATGACTATACTTAAGGTAATGCTAAACTATCGTGGTATGGAGTTAATCAAGTTCATGATAAATCTTGACATTGCAATGCAAATGAAGAAATATTGCAATATGAATCAATTTATCAAAATATCGTTACTAGATTATTTGTTTATTTACACAATTTTGACAAATTCATTTGCAAACATACGCGTAACAGTTAAAGAAGATAAGTAGAGTATCACTGGATGTAAACCCACTGTCTTCATTTCTAATGACTGTTTTATGAATATATAATATCTTCGTATATAATATCACAGTTATAAGCCGTCAATCTATTCGTAGTTTGGCATGATAAGGTTCCCCGAGACAACATTTCGTGGTGATCTACGCCAATCAATCCGGCGTCGTATGTCCGTAAACAATTTAACATTTTCTACTTCTTCTCAAAAACCCCAGAACCGATTTCAATGAAGCTTTGAGGAAACCTTCCCTGGCCCATCATGGAATAAGATGATGAATTATACGGTCCAAACCCCACAGAGGCCTGAGGGGCGGGGCCAAAAGGGGTCAAATTGACGCGGAGTTTAAAAAATTCTCAACATCCAGATATGATGGAATCGAATACACTTCATGAATGGAAGTGTATTAATGTGTTGTACCAGAATTGTGAATGTTATGGTCCCAGGATATCAAATTTCTCTGTGGGGAGAGGGTAAAGTTTACTATAGTTTATATACGCAAAATGGACTTTTGGACATAATCGGTTTAATTTCCGTTGGACATATTTCAGTCTTGGTTAGAATTATGAGTAAAGGAAGGACGGCTAGATGGTATGTATATATTGATGCTGACTGACCCCCAGGGGTTGATGGGCGGGGACAAAAGGGGTCATATTGACTTAAATTTCAAAAATCTTATTCTACACATCCAAGTATGGTAGGATCAAATGTTTTCCTCTTCTTAAGAGGAGGTTAACTTTACTCTAATTTTTATAGAAAAATGTAGTTTTAGCATAACATTGTGTATTTCGCAATGGAAATAACTATGTAATTATTATTAGTTTAGGGCGACAGTTGGATGGTATGTATGTATTGACACTGGCTAATTATCATCAATAGGACGTACCCTTTTAATCTTTTGTGATAATATAACCATTTAAGATTTTTAGCATGTTTTTTCCCCCTTTTAGTTTGTTTGATGGTTTATCCTTTTTGGATCGACGTGTGTTTCACCAGTTGATGGTCCTAATGACCTTTTATGTGTTGACGGATCGTTAAGATTGTATTAATAATTATAATAATATTATGATCAATGTCACAATTTTTTTTCCAAGATACTTGGAAACTACATCCGGTTTATTGACGTTATCTCAGGTGACCGGCAAGGCCGCTAGACCTCTTGTTTTTTATACTTATATACCTTGTAGCTAATTTACATAAAGGATATCCGGAGGATACATACTGTGTGACCTATGTACACACAAGTGAGGATCATACAGGCAATAACCATGACCAAACTATCACGCACGAGTAGGTACGCATGGTCACACCCCAGTGAGTGTCTCGACGGTTGTACCGTGTATATGGTGTTTTATATACTTGTTTAATACCTTATTTCGTTGGGATTGAACTTTATAATCAACCTGTCTGATATCGATTACAAAACAACGGATCACGCTGGCTTTAAATACTTAACACTGATTTGCTGAAAACAAGCGTTAAACCTAAGTAGGCCTACTTTCGGAAAGACTGGCACGATAGCTAACGTTTCAAATGGAAGTTGTTTCCCGAAGACATTCCAAACTAGCGAGATGTAGTCAAGCCAAGTTTGTATTCAGAAGCACAAAAGCGCACAGGAGGAACACCATTCTCGGACGTCCTCGGCTGTCTACCTTATCGCCGTGATACGCAGAGAAGTATCTCTGTGAGATCAGAATGGAGGGACACAAACGCGCTATTATTCATAAAAACATGTTTTAACTTCTTTCATTTATACCAGTTTCGATTTGTCGCTCTGTCAACATATATATGTGTTTTCTAGATCTATTTTTCTTACCCCGCCAGAAACATATTTTCCGATCCAAGACACAAGTCTTCAAACACTGTATCATAAGTTACTAAATACATTATATGATATACTCTTATGATTAATACTATAAAACAGGTGTTTCCTACAATCTTATAGGCAATGTCTTTTCCACGGTTGTCGTTCTTGCTATTTTCACCGAGTGTTAGGTAAAGGTTCAAGTGTCAATTATCGCGATAAGATATTTCAAAAGCTCTTTGTTTTATTTACCTATATATGTAGGTATATATTTATAGTTGCGACTATTTCTGGAAAACCGCCAAACTTATGCGGAATTCCTACCCATACCCTCTACCCTGTATACTCCCCTACCCTCTAACCCCTGACCTCTACCCCCTTCCGTCTACACTCGAGCCCTACCCTCAAACATGGTATCAAACGTGTTTTATCTATCCAATTACGAGGTTCAACCGGATCCAATGTTAACTGGCTGGTCGAAGTAGTATCAGTCAAGTTTAATTTTCGCGGCTTCCTATCCCAGTTTTAAATGTTGAAAACGGACCTTTGGGCACCTTTTGTGTTATTGTTTCATTTTTAACGCAGTACCGACCGTCCCGAAATTAAAAGAATGATACATATTTCTGTTTACGTCTATGGTAATATCTTGTAATTCTCCTAATTGTAAATTATATAGAAGTCAAAGATGAAATGTTCATGTGTTATAAGGGGTACATTGATGAGTGCAGATTTACAGTGGAAACCAAAATTTCATCCAAGATTGTTTCAGCTGAGAGTGAATCAGAAAAAAACACTGGATTCATATACATTTATAAGAGCGAAGTATAAATATTCTCTCCACGAGCGCACAATCTATGTGGCAATTATCTAACTAGGGTTTATTTGGTTCACACCAAAACCAACGTTAACAAAGTCATTTAAATAAAAGTAATGATCATTTAATGTAATAACATTTTATCGACGGAATTGTCAATTTTATTCAGTTTATTATATCGAATTAAATCTATTGTCAAACAAACACCTCTTTACAGTCATACAACATGTGATTTCTGGTGTTACTGTTCCGATGATAGTGGAATTGGAAGTGAAACTGTAGATAGATTTCTATATCACCCTACCCCACTGGGAATTTTATAGAACTTCATAAAAGAAAGTTATTTTGGTTTGGTAAATTGTGAAAGGATTGGTATTGAAACAATCACCGACGAGAGGACATTTCATTCGGAACATCTTTAGTCCTTTATTTCACGTAACATTGTATCAACTTGGTGCTGATTCACTCGGCATTGAAAGAGGTGTATTAACGATTTGATGTTTCATTGCAGGTTCAGACACACCTGGGTTTTGACATCCTCGCCTGTCCACCAATTCCAGGTAGGGACTTTAAAGACATGACGTCATTTGCATTAATTTTAAAACAGTTAAGGGATTGTACACCTGTGAAATGTTCATTGTTTCCATCTCTCGTTCATGTCACCCATTTCTGGGATACTACCAATTGCAACTTCAAAATTCAGGGGTTTTGCACGGATATATACCACGTGACGATCTGACGATTGCTACCCATTTGCTCTCGTCAGGACACTTGATCATTTGCTAGGCGGATGGACGCCATATGGTACAAGTACAAGGTTAAAATGAAATGTGTCGTTTAAACTGCTTAAAATTGCTTTCATTAACGTAAACACATCTTCCACATCTACTTACATATGATTTTTTTTTCATATTTAGATCAAAGAGTTAAGCCCGCCGGCCTGTGTTTCTTGGATTTCGAACGGAGCTCAGGTAAGAGTAGCTGATACTTGGATAACATTGACCCCTCTCTCCACCCACAGACATGTGTACCCCTCTCTCCAACTACAGAGTGATAGATAACGTGTGTGACCCCTCTCTCCACTATAACAGTGTGTAGATAACATCACCCCTAGACTGTACAGTGTGTAGATATATCACTATAACGTGTGTAGATATCTTACTGTAACGTGTGTAGATATATCACTATAACGTGTGTAGACATATCACTATAACATGTGTAGATATCTTACTGTAACGTGTGTAGATATATCACTATAACATGTGTAGATATCTTACTGTAACGTGTGTAGATATATCACTATAACATGTGTAGATATCTTACTGTAACGTGTGTAGATATATCACTGTACAGTGTGTAGACATATCACTATAACGTGTGTAGATATATCACTATAACGTGTGTAGATATATCACTATAACGTGTGTAGATATATCACTATAACATGTGTAGATATATCACTGTACAGTGTGTAGACATATCACTATAACATGTGTAGATATATCACTATAACGTGTGTAGATATATCACTATAACATGTGTAGATATATCACTATAACGTGTGTGTAGATATATCACTATAACATGTGTAGATATATCACTAACGTGTGTAGATATTTACCTACAGTGTGTAGATATATCACTATAACATGTGTAGATATCTTACTGTAACGTGTGTAGATATATCACTATAACATGTGTAGATATCTTACTGTACAGTGTGTAGATATATCACTATAACGTGTGTAGATATATCACTATAACGTGTGTAGACATATCACTATAACATGTGTAGATATCTTACTGTAACGTGTGTAGATATATCACTGTAACGTGTGTAGATATATCACTGTAACGTGTGTAGATATATCACTATAACGTGTGTAGATATATCACTATACAGTGTGTAGATATATCACTATAACATGTGTAGATATCTTACTGTACAGTATGTAGATATATTACTATAACGTGTGTATATATATCACTTTGCAGTATGTAGATATATCACTGTACAGTGTGTAGATATATCACTATAACATGTGTAGATATATCACTATAACGTGTATAGACATATCACTATAACATGTGTAGATATATCACTATAACGTGTGTAGACATATCACTGTAACGTGTGTAGATATATCACTATAACGTGTGTAGATATATTACTATAACATGTGTAGATATCTTACTGTAACGTGTGTAGATATATCACTATAACGTGTGTAGATATATCACTATAACGTGTGTAGATATATCACGGTACAGTGTGTAGATATATTACTATAACGTGTGTATATATATCACTACAACGTGTGTAGATATATCACTATAACGTGTGTAGATATATCACTATAACAGTGTGTAGATATCACTATACTGTACACTGTGTGTAGATATATCACTGTAACGTGTGTAGATATATCACTATAACGTGTGTAGATATATCACTATAACATGTGTAGATATCTTACTGTAACGTGTGTAGATATATCACTGTAACGTGTGTAGATATATCACTATAACGTGTGTAGATATATCACTATAACGTGTGTAGATATATCACTATAACGTGTGTAGATATATCACTATAACGTGTGTAGATATATCACTATAACGTGTGTAGATATATCACTATAACGTGTGTAGATATATCACTATAACGTGTGTAGATATATTACTATAACGTGTGTAGATATATCACTATAACATGTGTAGATATCTTACTGTACAGTGTGTAGACATATCACTATAACGTATGTAGATATATCACTGTACAGTGTGTAGACATATCACTATAACATGTGTAGATATCTTACTGTAACGTGTGTAGATATATCACTGTAACGTGTGTAGACATATCACGTGTGTAGATATATCACTATAACGTGTGTAGATATATCACTATAACGTGTGTAGATATATCACTATAACATGTGTAGATATCTTACTGTAACGTGTGTAGATATATCACTATAACGTGTGTAGATATATCACTATAACATGTGTAGATATCTTACTGTAACGTGTGTAGATATATCACTATAACGTGTGTAGATATATCACTATCCGTGTGTAACGTGTGTAGATATATATATACACTATTTAAGGTGTGTAGATATATGATATGTTGTTTTATTCTTGTTATTTTGACAGATAGAGGATTACGTGTGTAGATATATCACTAGTAACGTGTGTAGATATATCTCTATACAAATTGCACTAGTATTGTGATATGACGTCATTGATATCATTATTCGACGTCATGACATGGTTCGGAACGCAGCTGATGGTTTCTTTGGGGACATTAATCATTGTTGTGAAAGTTGTGAATCAACTCTATTCGAAGTCCATAGAATTCTTGAATTGCCAAACGGAATTTCCGGATCGACTGAGTTCGATACAGATACGAGTTTGCCGATATAGACCGGAGTTTACCGTTGCCTGTGAAGGGTTTATAAAACGTCGTTCATAACTCAAGTTGCACTTTGAAGCTCCCCTTGGAAAAAAACTGCCAAATCGGGGAATGTTCGGACTTATCCTGGAGGTCCTCATTTGTACCGTGTCATATTAACAGGTGCTCACTAGAGGATCGGAACTATCTAAAGACGTGTGCTATTCAAGTAGACACCTGGTGGTGTTAACTTTGTGCTGTTTTGATATTCGTTTCGTACGAGACAAATCTATATAAAATACTTAAGACAGCTAGACTTGAATATTTTGGAAATATTGAATTATCCTGTGATTTACGTTACAATAGAGTAGTTGAATATAGAATATTGTGTGTGATATTCCGACCGATGTTTAGCGGCCAAACCACATTGATAGGCCGTATCATATAAAGTGTCCGTAGGTGGCATGGCATTTTGGTGGCACAACCGCATTGAGTGGCTGGATCACTTACAGTGTAGTTGGTGTTGGTTGGTCCGATCTCATTTCAGTGGCTAAACCGTGTTGGACGACAATGTACCATAGGTTCTTTCAGTAGCGTTATTCACGATGATGTCTCATAGAGCGACAATTCTGTTGTTTCTGTGAGGCAGTGAGGCGTTTATCAGCTAGAGATGTATGTTAAAGTCATGTCGTGTAAGAGGTGTGGATGTGATCCCATGTGTGGATGCTGTGTATGTAAGAACCTGTCTGTACCATTATCACCTTTTTTCGTAGTGCATATTTACTTTGTTCAATTCATAACAGGAGACCAGATCACATTCAATACGATACTGGTCGTATGAAACATTTCTCGGGTATTTCCGTCAGTACCAAGGAACTCTACTTTGTCAGAAATACACCAAAGTTATCATTACTGTTTTTGTATCATGATTTACATATTTATCATATCATCATCATGTTCAATAAATGTTGTTGTTGATAAATATTTTATTATGTCTACGTTTCCATGGCGATACAATAACAAACCAGATAACGGTTAAGGACATTTTTCAGTTTTGTACGTCTACCAAAGATAAATTTAAATCATTTAGTAACAAAATCGACTTACAAAAACACATGGTTGACGTAGAAGAGAGTACTAGCTGTGGATGTCATTGGAAAATATATAAAACATCTGTATATATATGTTTGACCATTAGTGAGGGACCAGTAATATCAGTGAAAATTTTATTCAAAACATTGTTGAACTCCTTGCATTGTCTCCCTTTGTATTTGGTGCCGTATACCATAAGCAGACTTAAAGCGAGCTCCATTCGTCGCCGCCAACTGGCTCATTGGACAGTAGAACGTCAATGTTTAGCCAGCGTATCGTCAACTGTCGTTTGTGTAGACTGGCGAGGCATGCCTCATTGATCATTGCCAACTCTCATTGGACAATAGAACGTCAATGTTTAGCCAGCGTATCGTCAACTGTCGTTTGTGTAGACTGGCGAGGAATGCCTCATTCATCACTGCCAACTCTCATTGGACAGTTGAACGTCAATGTTTGAGTTAGTCAGCGTAACGTCAACAGACGTTTGAACAATAGTCGACTTCGCTCGACCAGCAAAACGTCCTCTATTGACTGTAAAACACAAACAAGCAAAACTACAATGGACATATATTCTGTACGTGAAATAACGTCAATTTATTTTAAGGGCACAGGGAAAATGTCAAATTAACTGTATGACTTATTTTTGGGCAGTGATCATCGGGAATTGATTATCAAATATTGGCGAAGAGTCCATTGGTCTGATGAAAGCCGGCTTTAGTTCCGACAGACGGCAAGTTCATTGTTGTAAGACCAAGAAATACGGCATACCAGAACGACATTCTGACACAGCATTGAGTAGTGACGGTGTTACTGGTTGGGGATGCTTTTCTCTAAACTAGGCAGAATTACCGTGATCAGATCCTTCCACCTATAGTTTTTCCGTATTTTGACGCCAAACCAATGGCAGATCGGGCTATCCGAACGGATTACAATGCCAAACCACACAGAAACCGCCTAGTACAAGACTATCTTCAACAACAAGAAGTGATAGACACTCTCCAACGGCCTACAATATCATTGAGCAAGTTCGGGACTCAGACAAAAAAAATCAATGCACAGGATCCGATATGTCAAGCAATTTGAGAGTGACGGGCTTAATTGATTCAGAAATGGCAGAGGGTTTTCAAAGTTTGGGCATATGGTATGAGACGACGGGCACAATAATTGTACCTATAGCATAGTGGGTATATCCGATCGGACATCCCGAGGGCTACGTAACAGGTTCCTATGTATCCTGTTTCCCTAATCCATTGTACGAGAAGCTGTTTTTTATTTGCCTCTTTATTCACCAATATTTTCCATGCCTGTTTGGGCGGAGGTTAGTGTATGGATGGAATGCTTAGCTTTCTCCTGGAGAATCGGCTGTAGCTCTTGCTAGCCTTTAAGCTCCAATTGCCGATCGTGTAATATCTAAATAATGTTAAGATTAGTGTTATCTGGATGAGCTGAAATAGGGACGGTTCCCAGAAGACTGAAGGTTGATAAATTTAAGCATCTTACTAGCATGTGGTATGCTTTAGGTTCTACTGTCTCCAGGGTGGCCAGGTCCTTTTGCGAGATAATTGATGATATTGAGTCTGTATTCTATCCTTGATCTGCAAAGACGTGTCGCCATTTTGCTTCTGTCCACAGTAGCTTAGATTCTCATGTGTGTTTCCTGGATGGTGTTTTACAATGTCACGGTCGTAATACACTTTACAATATATATTTTGCTGTATTCGGTTGTGACGGAAAACAGCTGCCACTTGCCAACGGCTTGCCACTCTTTTTTTCTTCACCTTCACCAAAATACAGTTTATATTTTCAGCCACTTCCCATCTATTCCCTATATCTCCTATCGTACTCATCATATATAGGTTCCTATATGTACGGACTTTGTTCATAACAATTTCATTTTTCTACGATGAGCATCGGAATGTATATCGTTTCTTATGCGGACTGAAGATCTTTGGTGTCGATGGAAAGTTTGGCTTTGTCATCCGCAACCATAGGGGGACCCATAAAAGTAGTACCTATTCTGCCTTCCAATGTGTTCCTTATTAAGGCGTCAAGTTGTTGTAATGTTTGGATGAAAGTCGCACTTCCTGACATTCTGTAGTTTAGACATGTTTCCGCCTAGAGTCAACAATAATGTAGGTGCGGAAGTGGCCATGATGTCATCTTACGTCAATTTTTTTTTTTTTTTTTTTTGTTCATCCTGGGTCGCAATTGCCAGGAGTACCGTTGTCTACAGCTAAGTTGGATCATATCTAACGCTAGTAGGCAAGCATGGTTTTGGGATGTTTCTAGTTCCAGGACTGACAGGGATGTTACCAGTTCCGGAATTTGTAACCATATCATGTACAGTAGCAATATTGTTTCCAGTCTTGGTATCTGCTATCATGTCATATAGAATGACAATGGTATTTCTAGTTCCGGAAACAGTTGTTATATCATATAAACTGTGAATGGTTTTTTTCAGTTCCGATATCTGTCTGACAATGTTGTTTTCACATTCGGTATTCGTTTTCATTTCATGTAGACTGATACTTCTGTTTGCAGTATCAGCTGTCCTGATGTTTTGATTGAGATATTTCGGTATATGTTGTCCTCAAATGTGGAATGACAATTCTGTTTCCAGTTCCGGAATCTGTTATCATATTAAATAGTACGACAAGGATGTTTACACTTAGACAAAGTTGTTTCCAGTCCCGGTAGATGTGATCATACCATGTAAACAGACAAAGTTGTTTCTAGTCCCGGTATTTGTGATCATACCATGTAAACAGACAAAGTTGTTTCCAGTCCCGGTAGATGTGATCATACCATGTAAACAGACAAAGCTGTTTCCAGTCCCGGTAGATGTGATCATACCATGTAAACAGACAAAGTTGTTTCCAGTCCCGGTAGATGTGATCATACCATGTAAACAGACAAAGTTGTTTCCAGTCCCGGTAGATGTGATCATACCATGTAAACAGACAAAGTTGTTTCCAGTCCCGGTAGATGTCACCATACCATGTAAACAGACAAAGTTGTTTCCAGTCCCGGTAGATGTGATCATACCATGTAAACAGACAAAGTTGTTTCCAGTCCCGGTAGATGTGATCATACCATGTAAACAGACAAAGTTGTTTCCAGTCCCGGTAGATGTGATCATACCATGTAAACAGACAAAGTTGTTTCCAGACCGGTAGATGTCATCATACCATGTAAACAGACAAAGTTGTTTCCAGTCCCGGTAGATGTGATCAAACCATGTAAACAGACAAAGTTGTTTCCAGTCCCGGTAGATGTGATCATACCATGTAAACAGACAAAGTTGTTTCCAGTCCCGGTAGATGTGATCATACCATGTAAACAGACAAAGTTGTTTCCAGTCCCGGTAGATGTGATCATACCATGTAAACAGACAAAGTTGTTTCCAGTCCCGGTAGATGTGATCATACCATGTAAACAGACAAAGTTGTTTCCAGTCCCGGTAGATGTGATCATACCATGTAAACAGACAAAGTTGTTTCCAGTCCCGGTAGATGTGGTCATACCATGTAAACAGACAAAGTTGTTTCCAGTCCCGGTAGATGTGATCATACCATGTAAACAGACAAAGTTGTTTCCAGTCCCGGTAGATGTGATCATACCATGTAAACAGACAAAGTTGTTTCCAGTCCCGGTAGATGTGATCATACCATGTAAACAGACAAAGTTGTT